TTCAAATCAATGTGAAGCTAGGCTTACCAATTCCCTTTGTAAACACGGCAAATGGTACAATATAAGTGCCTACATGGTTTACTGCTAGCAAATTCCTGGATCTAACAGTAATTCATATTCAGAATTTTATACATAGTATAGTCGGATATACAACACATGGAAATTCAACAAACCAACAGAAAGCCACATGAATATTTGGGAGGGCATATGCATGCTCCGAGACGACAGTTGCACACGTGAGCTCCTAGAAAGACCACAAGTCCAAATCCTCATCTAAAAATACCACAATCAATACCATAAGACCGTAGCGACACTGAATTGTACTAGGACCAACTGAGCGGTGGCCCCATCCATTACACACCGCATATAGTTCTTCTACTAAATTTACACAAACTGACTTCAACTCATTATTCCAACATCACATTAGTGAAACTGGCGCATCTAGTTATCTGGAACCTTTTGGATGTGGAAGCGAGACGAAGTTCAACTAGAGTACTGGACCATGTAAGGCCCTTTTCATTTTTAATATCAGAAATGTTGATGGTAAGAACATATAGAACATTACTATTTCAGGTCAAGAACATCACAGGATCAACTACTCCCTCCATTCGGAATTACTTGTCTCGAATATGGATGTATCTAGAGCTAAAATACATCTAGATACATCCATTTCTGCGACAAGTAATTCCGAACAGAGGGAGTAGTAATCAACAAAATCTTGCCGTGTACGCAGGGTCACAGTAATCCTTTTTTCACACGCATGTGGAGTGATTCATGTACAATTTTACTCTGGAGTTAGCAAAAGGTACATGATAACTGTATACAGAGCACATCCCCTAATTGTTCTTGTGATGTTCAGTGCACACAGAGCAAACCCCCTAATCTTTTTTCCACTCTAGCAATTGCAAATAGTGATAAAATTTTACAATTACGGCTAAATCTCACACATAAATTCGGTGGTATATAATACTACTATGCACTTGTTTCAAACGAACTGGGGGAAGTGAGGAATCGGAAGAACCAATATGACTGCACATTTATAATATAAGAACCAAATAGGGCGCACATACCTCAGATCCTCGAGCTATAAAGGCGGATAGCCGACTCCTATGCAGCCGTGTTATTGGTCCACGGAGCTACAGCCCTGCGTCGCAAAAAAGATGCAATCACAGCGCGCAGCCGCTGGACCTCATGATTTGGATTCTGGGCGTTGTTGTTTCAACGCCGGCGGCCGGAGAGGGAGATGGAAAGGAGAGAGATAGGGACTTCTCGACGAAGAGGAGAGGGAGATCGAGGGACAGAGGTGAGTCGCCCCATTTTTCTATGAACCCCTGGTTCAGTGGTATAGGTACAGAAAAGGAACAGAGGAAACGAAGGAGACGGATTTCGGAGGGACTCTGCGTGCAGTTAAATGGTTCTACAAGGCTCATTATGTAAAATGTGCCGGCGGCTACGTGATGATAACATCCCATCCATTATTTTTTCATCCACTGGCGCAGAATCGCTCGGAGCATCTGTGCACGAGTTCGCTCGTTTCACCAGATACGTTCTCACTCGGGACCTCCTCTCTAGCGGACTCCCTAATTTTTTTAACGGGGCATAACCTGTAACACCCCGAATATGATTTACCTAATATGTAATCCAACTCTTACCGTTTCCGGCGTTAAGTTATTTTATTTTCTCGGGTTCGGGTTTTCCCTCCGTGTGTTGTTGTCGTGGTCATGCATCTTATATCATTTCATCATGTGCATTGCATTTGCATACGTGTTCATGTCATGCATCCGAACATTTTCCCTGTTGTCCGTTTTGCATTCCGGCGCTCCGTTCTCCTTTGGTGGTCATTTCTACCTTTCTTTTGTGTGTGGGGGTTAAACATTTCCGGATTGGACCGAGACTTGCCAAGCAGCCTTGGTTTACTTCCGGTAGACCACCTATCAAGTTTCGTACCATTTGGACTTCGTTTGATGCTCCAACGGTTAGCCGAGGGACCGAAAAGGCCTCGTGTGTGTTGCAGCCCAACACCCCTCCAATTTGGCCCAAAACCCACCTAAACCCTCTCCATCATCTAGAGCGTTCGATCACGATCGCGTGGCCGAAAACCGCACCTCATTTGGACTCTCCTAGCTCCCTCTATGTCTATAAATACACCACCCTCTCGAAGTTCCGGATCCCCTCCTTCCAAACCCTAGATCCATCACCTCGCGCTGCGCCGGACACGTCCGGTCCGGCCGGACGAAGTCGCGCCGCCGACCTGCACCAGTGGTGTAGCGCCACGTGGCGCCCGCAGACCCGCCGCCGCCAAGGCCTGCCGGGCCCGCGGAGAGGCCCCGAGGCCCGCGCGCC